AACAGAGTGCAAGAACAGACTGAGCTTAATGACAAATAGCCTGCATAAACAGATCATAAGATCAACACAGGAGGACTTGGTGCCAAAAAAGTCAACATCTGTGGTGTGGGATTACTTTGGATAGAAAAACACTGCTGTATTACAGAATCAGGTCATTTGTACGACGTGTCAGTCACATATCGCATCTAGCGTGTGGAAAGTGCGAAGTAGCGTGTGGGAAGAGGCGTGTCGCTTTCTTCAGCACTCAACATGCTTTGCGCTCGTGCTCCTTTGTCATTGCTCGGCGACCAACAACCCTTTTCACAAAGGATGACAAACTACCAAATCATTGCTGCAGCTCCGCTACAAGTTTTGTTCATGGAGAAAATGAAAAAGCACTGCAGTGTTTGGGTGTTCAGTGTTTTTCTGAGATAATTAGTCTACCGAAATGTGTAAATTTCATACAAAGTATGAAGCCGATCACTCAGTTCTTGTTACGTGATTCACAGTGCGCTTGCAGCATTCTGAAAGTACAGATGTTTTCAACTGGGTGAGCATGGAATGCGCACACGCATCACCTTCAATAAGCCGCGTGCCTTCATTGGAATTAACAAACTGGTGCACGCCCAAATACACAATATGTAAATGGACTATTGCACCATAGCGTCTGAAAGAGGTCTATGATCTACACATGGCGAAAAAAAATAAATAAATCTGGACACATATAAAAGTACATGCAACTACTTCTGACATGGTCAAACAAAACACACACAGTAGTGTATTTATTTGTTTTGCCATAGGTCTGTTCTAGAAACAATTTGCTACACTTTTACTAAGTGATTTTTATGTAACTTTTTGCTTTAAGTCTAATTTTAGAGACATGTTACAGGACTTTGATAAAGATGTAAATGTTTTCTTTTAGAAATATGTTTCAGATTCACACTGTAAAATGTCTCTGTGTGTGTGTCAAAATTGTGATTCAAATTGAAATCACAATATTGTTCAAGATAATCATAATTATTGTGGTTTATTTTGCCCATATCGAACAGTTTATTTTGCCCACATCGCACAGTCCTGCTATCAAAGTTATCAAACGAAAACTAAAGAAAATAAGTGTGTTTTCAGTGACCTCCGAAATGTGTGTAAAGTAGGAGATGTTCTTGCCATGGATGTAGAGACTCACCTTCTGACATGGTAAAACAACAAACTTTAGCTGATGTATCCAAAAAAAATTTCTTTGTAGCGATATACACTTTTTTTTTTGTAGTTTATGCAATTTTCTGTCTTATAAGATACAAAATCAAAACTCAACTCTTATTAAAATCACTCGCACATGATGCTTTATCTGTGTCTGGTGTGATAGCACCATTAGAGCGAAGAAGGGTTGATGTTTACTTTCGATACGTTTATTTTACTTGATTGTTGGCATAGGTTTTTTATTGCATTTTCAAAATTGATGTGCATCTAGATATGTTTATTAAGCATTTCTTATGCAGTATTCTGAAATGCTTTTTTGTGTTTTGTAGGGATATTGAGAAATAAATAATATGAACATTTAATCTCAAATAGATACAGATAAAACTAAGCATAGGAAAGATTTTATTTTAAAAAACAGACAGAAAACAATTATATATATATATATATATATATATATATATATATATATTTATTTATTATTATTATTTTTTTCTGGAGACATAAAAAGCTAAATTCTACTTAACATTGTTTTTGATCATAATTATGTGCATGCCTGCAGTGTGTACACAACTCTATTATGGTTTGTCTATCCTCATCATTTGATGTCCCATAAATCATAAACAGTGTCTCCAAATGAGCCATTCAAGAATATACCAGCGTAGGAGGCTGTAAACAGTCTGCTATGTTTATCTTCTTTTAAGATGATTTAACAGCACTATTAATGTAAGAAATGGATTGGTATTATGTCTACTGAAGTTTGTCAGCCAGAAGCAGTTGGATATTACACTCCTGTTACTTTAATGCACAGATCATATGTGATTCCTTTTCCAGTTGTTTACATTCACAGATGTTACTTGACTTAACATATTGTGCATTTGACAGTTGAAAGTGTGATGTGCTGTCCGACAACCAGCTTTCTGAGCAAACACATCATATCCTTTCTCAAAAAAATGATTTATATATAGCTCCAAAATGCGTAGAAATAATAATAAACTTCTGTGGTGGAAAAACATGGCATCAGTTTGACTCTAGTAGAGAGGCTACTGAAAGACCAACAGATGATGTGTTTTTGGTGGAGTATCTAAAGCACAGACTGTAAAGGTTTTCTGGAAAGGGAGTGGTTAGCAATAGCAAATTTGCTTTTAAAGAGGCATAATAGAAGTGTGTTTTTGCTTTGAGCATTTACAGAATCTATGGGGTATGTGATGTATAAAATCACAGACAGGTTATGATATATAATAATTAAATAACATTTAGTAAGGTCCTCTTTAAATGTTGATCTAATATGAAAAACACTCCAAAATAAATAAATAAACCAAACCAAATAAAATAAAATAATGGATTCTAAAATAAAAAGTACAATATAACTACATTTTGATGCATGAATAAAGTAAACCATATAACATGTTATATTCTTTTTAATGTGTCTATTGATCTGTTTTGTTAATTTATTACATTTAGAAAGAATTTACTTTTATTTTTGTTATATTTATTTTGCATATCAGACTATGTATTAGATCTGCAAAAAATATAATTTCAGCATTGATATCGCAATGTGTGCATCCAATAGTAACAACTCAATATAGGCAATTTTGAATCAGAATTATTGTTAACCAAAAGCTACAGAATTGTATTTAATTACTGTATTTAAACAAAATGTATGCGATAAATTTATATAAAAAATGTTTTTAGATTTAGAATTTTTGTCTTGTTTCTAGTCCAAATATCTAGATTTCAAAGTGAAAACATGATTATTTTGCTTACTTCACTGGCAGATAATTTTTGTGTTTTCTTTTTCTTTTTTTTTCTTTTTTTGGGGAAACCTCTTAATTTTGACATAAAAGCAACTTAAGTTTGTCTTATTTTTTTCTGAAGTTGAAACAAAACAATATTTTTAGTTGATATAAGAATCTTTTTGGTATTTGGACTAAAATGAGACAAAGCAAAGTAGGAATTAGCATCTAAACAAGTTATGGTAATTAATAAACTTAAATTAAATTGAATTGAATTAAATCTAATCAATCTGAATTGAATTGAATTGAAAGAAAAGCATTTTTTGCATTGTAGTTATTCAATTTCTGTGTCTGGATACTGTTGAACTCTACAAAATAAACTGTCCAATAGAGCTATTCAAACCAGCTTGTGAAGCTGTATTCATATTTTTAATATTTATCACAGAAAACTAAAATATTGCAATATCAGATTTTTCCAATATTGCGCAGCCCTACGGTATATACAATTGTTTAGCACTGCACTCTTTGTATTTAAGTAACTGCCATCCTTTTAAATGCAAACACACATTTCTATGCAAATTGCAAATTTATTAAATTTATAATTAGTTTATTCACATCTTTTTTTTTACATTTAAGCTGCTTATCAGGTTAGATCAGGGGTTCCCAAACCTTTCAGCCCATGACCAACAAAATAACAATTACAGTGACTAGCAACTTCCAAATTTCTCTGAGGTGGTTATAAGTATATAAATGTTGGACACACAACAAGAGGCCTATGTAAACACGAGTGTATTGACAACACAAAAAAGTCCAACAGTTTAACAATCGTAGGCTATAATTTATATAGTCATTTATTATGAATATGTTTAATTAATATTAACCTCACCTAATGAGAGCGGTGGGCACAATGATTTCAGCACATGTTTAATTTTTGAGGCCGCCACGCAAAGATCATTGCCAATGTTAAGTTGTTGTCTGTATTTATTTTTAATGTATTTGTTTGCCATAAAGACGTCAAAACGTTTAGCATCGTGCTATGAAATCAATCTGTGTTGTTAATCTAACGCACAATCTAATCTAAATGTGTAAATCTACACAGTATTTAACTGTAATAGAAGCTGTATTTTACTGTAGGACAGTTATGCATTAAGTTATTATATTTTAAACGTGCATTGTGAAAATTGCTGTATACTTTACAGTAACTATATATTGTACAATAATTCTGTAAATACACATATAGCAAGATAAATGGTGTAAATGTAAATACAGTATTTTACTGTGATCGATTTACAGGCGAACTGCTGCCAGTAAATTACTGTAGATTCTACAGAAATATGTTAATAGTATATAAAAAAGAAATAATAAAGGTTGATGGCTTTTTATATGCATGTTGTTGCTTTTCTATGCAACTATTAACAGCTATTTTTATCTTCAGTGGTTTATGAATAAAATATGGTAATTCTAATAGTTTAACCAAAGTTTATTTGACTTTTGAGGGTCCACCAGGGGGTTCTGAGCCCCACTTTGGGAACCACTGGGCTATATAAATCCATTTATTTAGCACTGCGCTGTGCATATTTAGGGGTCCATCCTTTCAAATGCAAATGCACATTTCTATGTAAATTCAATACATTAAAGATTATTTTATTTATATTTATGTTGCATATCAGGCTATACATGCATATATTTAGCTATGTGCTATTTGTATTTAAGTTACTGCCGTCTGTTTAAATGCAAGCACACACTTCTATGCAAATGTGACTTATTATAGATTGCATCTTTTACCAGAAAGTCAGAGCTGTTTGTCTGCTCTTTAATTCAAAAATATAGAAAGCCGTGCAAATAAACAGTGCTTTTAGTGCAATTCATTATCACTGAATCCCTGTCTGCGAGCACTATATATATTTCTACATGCAGAGGGCTTTTTAAATGAAATCACTGTTGCACATCATTTTTTTTTCCTCCCAAAAGACTATGCTTTTGTGTATGTGAAGCGTAGAGTGCCTAGGATGCTTTTTCAGGTTGTAATCATGCATTCGAAGCAAACTTCAGACTTTCATCATTGATTTCTGCATCTGCTTGTGTTTGTAGGTTTGGAGTTTGCCTACTCCGCAGCCCCTCGCTCCATGCAGAGCGCTATAATGGGCCTGTTCTTCTTCTTCTCTGGGATCGGCTCCTTTGTGGGATCCGGACTTCTAGCTATTGTCTCGCTCAAAGCCATCGGGTGGATGTCTTCGCATCAAGATTTTGGTAAGACTTGTGTGAGAGCATAAGAAGGTAGAGCAGCATATGTGAATATTAAGATCTGTAATGAAACAGATGCCTGGGTTTTGATTAGTGTGTTTATTTATATGAGTGTGCACATGAATATTAATGCGCATGTGTGTGAGGGTCAGGTTTTGCTGCAGCGAGTGGACCAAATGTCCCCATAATGATCAGAAAAGCTAAAATTAGCTATATTGCGAAGACCTTTGAGAAACAAGGCTTGGTAAGCATACTTAATTATTGACTTAATGAAAATGGTAAATGCAGAAAGGTTTGTCTGAGGGTCAAATTGGGAAAATAACAATATCATTTTGCACAGTTTAAAGTTTGGTCTTCTCTTTTAAAAGTTCCTGGAGTTGGAGGTCTTCTACATTAAGTTTAAATGTGTCCAAGGTCAAAAAACATATTCATATGCATTACAGAAGCATCTCTGTTCTTACACCAGCTATGTTTCCATCCAAATATGCTATTCAGATGTATGCACAAAACTGGAATATCGCATAAAACTTATTTATTAGATTTGGACTAAAGGACTGATTCAATCTAATGAGTCAAAGAGAACAAAATGGTCGCTTCCAGATAAACTGGTGCAGATATCACAAGTAAAAATGTACTTTGCTTTGGTAGCCAAAACCACTTTGGGTTTTTGTTCTTATATAATTAGAAGACAAAGATGCATTTTAGAGGTGTGAGACTCCTTTTTGGGATTCGTTCATTCATTTTCTTGTCGGCTTTGTCCCTTTATTAATCCGGGGTCGCCAGAGCGAATTCAACTTATCCAGCAAGTTTTTACGCAGCGGATTCCCTTCCAGCCGCAACCCATCTCTGGGAAACATCCACACACACATTCATACACTACGGACAATTTTTTAGCATACCCAATTCACCTGTACCGCATGTCTTTGGACTGTGGGGGAAACCGAAGCACCTGGAGGAAACCCACGCGAAGGCAGGGAGAACATGCAAACTCCACACAAAAACTCCAACTGAGCCAAAGTTCGACCCAGCGACCTTCTTGTGTCTTCCTGTTGCATAGTTTGATCTTTACAATTGTTGGGCTCTACAAAGAGCTATAATAAACAGCTAAAGGTAATAATAATAATAATAATAATAATTATTATAGGTCACCTAAAAAAGATAAAGCCTTTTTCAAGCAATTTGGCACTCTTAAGAAACGCAATTTTAATGTCATCTTCATTTTCCTAAGCCAAATGATGTTCAAATATCCTGAAAATCGATGACTTCTATGTTCCGTCTTGATGAATGAAATCGATGAAGAAAGATGGTCCCTGATCAGCATTCTGTTTAGATGCAATTTATTGTAATTATGCCAAGAGGAAAGAGGTCCTATAGCTTTCAGCTCTCGCTTGTGTCAGAGATGAAGTGACGCGGTGAGCACACATGCTTGATGGATGATGTGTGTTTTATGTGTGCGTGTACACGTCCAGCAGCTTGAGTGCAGTCATCTCCAGCCAAACCCTAGGGGTGATTGCTCATTTGGTCACTTTTTTGACTGTGCGTTTGTTTATTCGTATACTCTGCCCATTTCAAATTGTTGGAAGTTGTTGGACCTTTGAATGAGTAATGAACAGAAAGTGTGGAAGGTTTAAGAAATAAATCAGCATATGCATATAGCAAGCTTTGATGAACTGTGTATTTTTTAAACGTTCAGATCTCCACCATTTTAGAAAACTATTTTGAATTGTTTTCAAAATGAATATGCATAAGTCACAGAGTAGAAGTTTGCTTAGTCGACTGTAATGCTTTTAACTTTAAGATTTCTCTGTATTGATCCAGATTCAAAGGATTCAAATAATAATATTGGATTAATCTTAAAACATTATCATCTATTGAGTTAAAACAAGGTATTTTTGTATTATTTATGTTTTTTAATAGTTTTAACTCTCCAGCACTAATCATTAATACATATTCATGTGTTGAAAATATAGATCTATACAATTCTATTATGGACCCAAATTCTATTATTTTTCCATTCAACTTTGGAATGGTTATGCTATATAAATATATATATATATATATATATATATATATATATTTAACATATGCAGTTAAATTGTTTAATTAGCTATGAAACAAATGCAATTTAGCATATAACAGTTCTCAAATAAAATGCTCTGTGAAGTGTGCTTATGTCCTCATATAGTAAGACAGCTAATGCTTATAAAACACACATGCATACTTGAGTGTATAGTTGATATTATGTTTCTGTGGTTTAATATCCTCTAGTCTATTCAATGTTGTGTTTTTCTTTCTGATATTGCGTTTTTGTGGTTTAATATTCTGTAGTCTAATCTATAGTCTACGTATGTTTGATTTATTCATCCAAATTGCCAAATTCCATGACAAGTCTGGGAGACACCGATTTGATGTTACAGAACTAGCTAAAATCCAATGAAAACAATTGTGTTGTTGCCCTAAGTCAGCTGCATCTGGTCCTGTCTCAACCAAAAATCTATGTGTGAACACACCAAATGATAGCTTACTGAAGACATACAATAACCCCTTTCTCACACAAACACCTTACCAGAAAATTACCTGCTATTTTTCGCCTAGAAGAAACAGAATTTGCCAGAATGCTGCTCTGTGTAAATGCAGAAGGAAAATTGCCCCCCAATGTTCAGAACGCGCTGATGTGAGAAGCCTACTCCAGCCAATCAGAACATTCAGATGCGTTCACATCTGTGCTGTTTTTGAAAATAAAAGCCTTTGATTATTTTTTCCAGACACATTTAGCTGCTAGATGTTAGTCGATAATGTTTCTACGCTCTTTCTTAATGCCAACTGTGGAAAAAACTATGTATTAAATACTTATGCTAAACCGCTGTTTGTTTACCTTTAAGCTCTTCATCAGTTGCTTGACGCGTGTGCACGTGAAGTAGCCTGTGACCGTATATTATGTACATCTCCACAAGCGAAAGTGTTCCTTCAAATGTTTTTATTGAAGTTGTTTACAATACTTATCCATCCACAGAATTTGTAAGATCAAAATGTGAAAACATTTAACTGCAGTTAGCGCTTCTACCTTTGGATGTCTCTGGAAACAAGCTGCTACATGAACACTAAAGCTCTAAATACAAGTGAAATCATCAACAAAAGCCTGACCCCTTCTATGTTTACATTTACATAGCAGCCATTTAGAAGTTGTTTCTGATTAATGATGTCAGAATTTACCGTATTTTGGAATGGATGTGTGAATGGTCCTTTCTGGAAAAAAATCCAGAATGTCCTTGTCTGTGTTTAGCGGTAAAGACGTTATGGAAATTTTCTGAATATTCATCAGTATCACTTTCATCAGAGTGAAAAGGGCTAATATCTCTAAAAATTATTATAAGTACATGAATAAAAAGTGCAGATTATTCAAATAAGGCAAATAAGTTGATAAACCATTTGTAATGGTGTACACCTATTTTGCAGCCAGTTTAGATGTCATTTTGTACTCTCTGAATATATAGTAAAACTTTTTTGAGTCATTTAGTGTAAATAATGCATTACTTAATTTTTCTCTTGCTCTAGCTGCTGTGCGAAAGTAAATCAGTCTTAAATATGCAAAATGCATACAATTAATGGCAGCTTTAGAAACAAAAAGTGAAAGCCAAAGCCAAAACACTTTATTAGATTTTCCACTGGTTAATCGATCATGGATGTTTGGTTATCTTGGGCAGATACAAAAAAAGTGTAAAGAGATGATAATAGTATAAAAAGTGTTGGGCAGCCGTTAACATTCCTGGATGGCCCGCTATGTGAGAAGTGTGTGGCCCGCTATGTGTAGGAAGCACTGCACTCTGTGTCTGCATAACTTTGCATTCACACCGAAAGCGGTGAGAGCGTCCAAGGTTGCTCCGGCCACCCTGGCATCAATGCTGTCTGCCTTAAGCTCCGGCAGCGCGAGCGTCAAAATTCGTGTCATTGATCTCGTATTTAAAAGGGCCGTTGCAGCACATCAGTTACATTCCTGCATAAAACATGCTCTCTAGCATGAAAATGGTGCACACTTCTTATCAAATTCATTAAACAATGGAAGATCAAGTTGCATGTGTTGAGGCTGAGCTCCACTTAATTATCCAATATTTCCATATGTCTGTTTTGTATTGTCATGCGAGATTCCCGCTTTTTTAAAATATATATATATATATATATATATATATATATATATTAATGCACATCATATACATATATATATATGCAAACATATATATTAATGCACATAAATATATTAATGCACATCAGTAACTCGCCAGTAACTTATTTAATGCATGTTCCTGTAAGAAAACATTGTAAATAATTGAAAATCTGGCGACCGCAATAATCAAACCCTTGGAAAAACTGTGGTCAAAACCAAAGTTCACAGATCTGTGTTCTATGAACTCCTCTGAAGCGGTGGACTTCTACATTCTGATTGCTTGCCGCCGAACCGCGTCATATCGCATTACCATAAAGTTGACTTGATTTCAACTCTCCTCAACGGCTCTCCGGCTCTCTGTGAAAATGAATGAATTCCAGCTACTTTGACGCTCTCGCCGCTTATATATCTTTCCATGTCTACAGGTGGCAGTTGAATGTATTGTCATTTCACAAAGGCAAACCAGAACAAGTGCTGCACACAGTACATGCCATTTTCACAGTACTTCTCACTCGCCGCAGAGGGGCTCACTCAAGGAAATATGTCTGATAATCCATATCATTTGCAAATATTTAACAAATAAGACAAAACGACTGCCAGTTTTTTTTTTGTGTTCCCTCGTTAGTTGTGTCTTTTGTTTGGTTTTGTCACCTCAAGTTTTTATTCTTATGCTCTGATTTAAAGCTAAACAGCTAATCAGAGTGCGCTCTTTCACCTATGCCAGTTTCGATTCTACACATTGAATCAGGCAAACTCCCTCAGACATGTCCCATGATGGGAGCCACATGTGGAACACACCAATCAAACTAAACTGATGGAAGCCCAATGGCAGTGTGGGCCGGCT